GGGTAGGGGGGGAGAGAAGAACCTGAGGCAGCCCCAAGTTGCCCAAACTCACACAGAAGCCCCTACCTAGAGGTCGCCTTGGTACAAGCCCCCCCCAAGACTTTTCAGTCATCTTGTCCAGCTCCCACTGCCTCCCAAACCTTTTTAATATAATCCGATCCAATCCCATCCCCCCTACTCACTGTGGTCCAACTCTCCCCCCCCAGTTGCCATGGGAAACGGAATTTCCAAGGGGATGTGAGCTAGCTGGCTGGATTCACAAAGGGAACTTTTGAGAACTAGTCTGAACCCCTCATTTGACAATGAAAATTCAAATGAGGGGTATTTACACAACCTCTAAAGCTGCCCTTAAATCCAAACCCTGAATTTCCTACCAAAATTGAGGAAGGCCACAAAGGGAAATTAATTACTGGCAAAACCACCCCAGGTTAAGAAGGTACCAAAATAGGAGTACTAAACACGTCATCAAAATTTAGAGACTCCTCCCTAACTTGTACCCAGTGGTAGAGTATTATAGTACTTCACCTAAAAACCCCAGTTCAGAAGGGCAGGTTTCATAAGGCCATTGCTTATGCAGATTTTAAAAGTTCTGAAGAATTGGGGGTGAGGGTGCTAATTAATAAACCTGCTACATCAAAAAGTTTTTTAATAGTTTGTTTATATCAGGTTGTTGACAGATATTATCAGCTATATTTCTCCCCTTTTTTAATTAAAAAAATTTTAAGCTATTGTGTATTTTTTCTTCTAAAGTAAAGAAATGGGAATAATGACCCATGGGTGCTAATCAGAGGAAGAGGTCACCTGTCAGAGCCCAGAGACCTGTGTTTATAGGTGTGTGTTTGGGGTGTGTGTGTGTGTGTGTGTGTGTGTGTGTGTGTGTGTGTGTGTTCATAGGGCAGTTAGAGCCCCTGAGTTCAAATCATGTCCCAGACACTTACTAGCTGTGTGACCCCAGGCAAGTCACTTAACCCTGTTTGTCTGTTTCCTCATCTAATGAAATGAACTGGAGAAGGACATAGCAAATGACACCAGTGTCTTTGCCAAGAAAACCCCAAATTGATTCACGAAGAGTAGGAGGCAAGTGAACTACAACAACATGTGTCTTTACCTGTGTGTCTGTATGTCTTTCAGTCTGTGGCGGGTAGAGGTGAGGAGTGTTTATCAGCTTTTTTTAAGTGTCTACATTTGACCTGAATACCCACGAGTGCCTCTTAAAGGTCACTTAACAAAGCTCTGTGTGTGTGTGTGTGTGTGTGTGTGTGTGTGTGTATCTTGCTGGGGTGGAAGAGTTTTATCTTCTTGGCCTTTTGGTGTTTAAGTGAAGCTGATGTGCCCATTCGTGCTTAGGGGTTCCTTTTATTTTTATTTTGTTTTGTTTTTCCTTAAGGATTTAAGAAAATATCCAAATTAATACATATGGAAGAAAGTCTTCTATTTCAGAAACAGATGAAAAGAAAGTTCTTGGAGCAGAAATGTTAATATTGTGGGGCTCTTTGGCAAGGTTATGTGATCCCCTCAAAGCTAGGATTCTCAGAAGCTACATGTTAAAAAGCTACTTTGAAAATCACCTCTTTTTGCCCCTGTCTTCCAAATTCAGGCAGATTTAGAAACCTAATTCCCTCTGTAAACAGTGTAGCCTGATAATGTGTATTATGTAGAATGAGCTTAAAGTTAAAATCAGTTATTAAATATGTAACGAGAAAAGGTGCAGTTTTTTAAAAGGAATTTGTGGGAGTTTTAATCTTTAGGAATTATGGTGCTGCTGACACTCAGTCACACAGGTACTCAAACACTGTTAGGTAATGTAAAACCCAAGTAAATGATTAATTCAGGTGAAGTGGAAATAGTAAGCTTTCCTTTAATATTTTGGTGGTAAAATGATGAATGTGCAATTATCCTCAAGTCACTACAAGCCAGACGTGGTTCAGGAGACATGGTCTAGTGCTTTGTAATATATCGAAATGTGTAGTGCTGTCACTTCACGGAAAGTGAACAATAGCTCACTGAAAATGGGAAAAACAATGATCCCCTTGAGTTGGAAAAAGTACCCTTTGGAAATCGTGTCCAAATCTTGGGGTCTCCAGAGCTCCCTGCTATTTTGAAAGCCATTCATTCCTTCTTCCCTTCCTAGAATATCATTAAGTCACTGCCTGGGCAGGGAGGCAGAACCCGCCCTCCCTTGCCTGGGAACCTTTTCTGTTCCCGTTATCTAGCCTCATGGAGTGTTCTTAGTCTTTCTCTCGCCAACATGTGGCTTTACTAGGCCCTAGAGGGAAACAATCGTTGTCACTGAGGAAGCTGGTTCAAGAATTGTCCTTCAGTTTTAGAAATCACTATTTCAACAAATCCATACATCCATTAATGACAGTCAGCATGCATTTATTAAGTGCCTTCTGAATGTACTAGACACTGCGCTAAGCCCTGATGGGTGAAATGAAATGTCTTCATGGACTGATTACATACAGCCAATTTGTACTGGTTTGTTCTGAGAATGGGTCTCCCTGACCCACCTGGGCAGGCAGCACAGAGACTTCTCAAAAACTCAATCCTACTTTTGATTGGCTTTGACCTAAGCCTTTTCCTGAACTTGTCCACTCCTCCTTGGGCAACCTGGTGGCCCTTCACTTATGGGGGGCTCACCATACGGGAGGTGCCAGGCAGTGTGGACAACTGATTAGCTTCACCCTCCAAATTCCCAAACAGTCTCACCAGAGGTTACAGGTGGGTCAGACTCAGCTGTCTTTTAAACCATATTTGATCCAGTACAATTCCTTCCCATTTCTGTCTTCCTCACCTACTTGGTAAGGAACCCACCTTTGTCTGCTTCCTTATATTAGGATTCTCCCCGTATTCTGATTCTAAATGACTTATAGCATGTACTTGACAGACCCTGCTATTTAGGCAATTCAGAGCCAACCTGTTAAGGGGCGCATCTCCCTTCTCTAGTTACCAGCTACTCTCTGACCACCTCTACATCTGTGTCCTGTGCTGCTGCTAAGCAACATCGAATGGTCACTCCCAAGCATCCAACACTCCCACCCCATATCTCAAGGTTGATTTTCTTTATCATACGACATATAGTATTTAAGAGCTGTCATCGGATAGTAGATTTCACTGAAAGAGACCCCGGAGGACATCTAGTCTAAGCCCCTCATTTTACAGATGAAGACACTAAGACCCAGAGAAGTGAGGTGATTTACCTCAATTTACACAAATTCTTAGGTGGCAGAGTTAATTTTACCCCATCATTCCAGCAGTGGCAGATTTTACACAGTGCAAGCTGAAAATACGGATTAAATATGGAATGTGTTTAAAGTTAAAAATGTAATGCCCTTTCCTTTTGGTTCCCTCCTCTTTCCCCTGAGATCCTCTCACTCCAAAGCCAAAGCTCTTTCTACTGCACAAGCACACCCCTTCACTTCTGGAGGAGGCAACTTGAGCCTAGCAAGCTATAGTGATTGGGCCAAGGACACAGAGTGTCCCACTGGCCGAGTGGGAATTCAAGGCCAGCCTTTGGGCCTCCAGATCCAGATTTCAAAGACAGATGACATCATAGTTGCAGAGATGGAAGGGGATCTGGAGGGCCATTCATTCCAACTCTCTCATTTTCTAGAAAAGGAAACTAAGACCTATGGAGACCAAGAGACTTATCCAGGGCCACACTGATAGCAAGTGTCAACGGGAGGATTTAAATCCCAGTCCTCTGACAGCGTTCTTTCTACTTCCTCACATTACCCTACATTGCCTCAAATGTGGATTTACGATGAAAATACAATTATATTCCATTCAAACTCCTTTTTGTCTCCACTGGATCCAAGCCCACTGAAAATACATATAGAATTGGGGGCAGTTACCATAGGCCATTTTCAACATTTTGCCTTAGGGGCCCAGAATTTAAACTTATTCCACTGCCCCTTATAAAGGAGAACAGCCCTTTCAGTAGTCACATGATAGCGCTTACACATCTGGAAAATGAAAAACTCAGATTAGAAATGAAGTCAGAACCTCCCACATGACACCTAGAAAACTCACCAGCAACCATCATACTTATTCAGTCCCAAGTCGCATTTGCTTCCTGTTGTTTGGTTACATTTGGGAACTAGCAGCACATTCTATGTTCTGGAGGACTTAGCAAGGATCCTGCTGCCTGAGCCTATGGGCCCGGGTCACAGTTGGCAGTGCTTAGCCTACTTTTTGGACCAGACTAAAGAGTGGAGTGGAGGTGGCGGTCAGGAATTTAACTCAACAAACATTTATTCTATATCTACGGGATTAAAGAGCACTGTGCTACTTAGTTCATATAAAAATTCCAATCCTTGCTCCCCCCAGAGAGCTTGTAAATCAATCAAGGGGACAAAACAAGTAGGAAATAACAATCACACAAAATAATATATGGTGATATAAGACAGTTTCAAACAAAGTGCTACCTGAGGTCCGAGTGGGGAAAGATCTTTACTGACTGGTGGGTAAGGGAATGCTTCATGGAGGGGGCATCATTTGAGATGGGCTTAAAAGGATGGGTAGATTTCAACAGCTTAAGTGGAGAGGAGACAGTGAAGGGGCGAGACATTTCAGGCATAGGGCACAGTATAAACAAACAGAGACGTGTGAAAGCATGGCTTAATTTGCCCAGGGTGTATAATATGCAGAGTAAAGTTATATGCTATGATGCTTAAAAGCTAGTGTGGTGCCAGATGAGGGGGGAAGGTGGCACTTGCATACCAGGTTGGGGAGTATAAACTGTAGTCAGGAGGCAATAGGGAAGCAATCCATCTGTAAGGAAGAATAATCTGACAGGTCTGTGAAGACTGGATTGGAAGAGGGAGAGAGCATGAAGGGAGAAGCTGAGAAGCTGCTATAATAGTCCTGGCAGCAAGTAATGAGGACCTGTGCCAGGGTGGTGGCAATAAGAGAGAGAAGAGCAGAAATGAGCATGCAATTTGGATTCAGAGACCCTGAGTTCAAGTACATGCTCTACTACTTACTAGCTACTCAACCTTGGGCAAGTCACTTTCCTGCTTTGGGTCTCAGCTTCCTCCCCTGTAAAATAAGGTCATCAGAGTCAATGATCTCTAAGGTCTCTTCAACTCTGAATCCTATACACAGAAATTACAGAGGTAGCATCAAGAGGATTTGGTAACTAATTGAATATGTCAGGTAAAGGTTCAGACTCAAAGGGAAAGATAAAACCAAAGTTCAATACTGGAGACTAAGTGAATGGTGGTGCTCCTGAGAATCACTATGAAGTCTGAAGGATCATATTTTGAGGGAAAGAGAATAAATTCAGTTTGGGAAATATTAAGCTCCAAGTTCCAGCAGGACATCTTGGTAAAGACGATCTGTAGACATTTGGAAATGTAGGTCAGAAGCCAGGGAGAGAAGTCAAGCCTGGAGAAATAGATTTGGAACTCAGCTGTACAGAGGGGCCTGGGAATGAATGAAATTGCCAAGGGTGAGAATATAAAGAAAGAAGAGAGCTGAGGACTAAATCTTGGAACACACTCAGTTTTAAAGGTTTGAGAAGAATAAGAGGAGTCACTAGAAAGAGACAAAAACTGCATTCTCTGAGTCTTTCAGGAAATACATATATACATACATACAAACAACGGTCATGCATATGTAGTATTGCCTCCAAAGCTACTATCCCAACTCCTACTCAGGTCCACAGAGTTAGGCCTGAGGGGGTGAGGTGTGTCTTTTAATGCTATATAACTCATGAGCCCCCACCAGTTGGCTTCCCCCTATGATTATCAGGTAATATCAATTAGTAAACCAGACTTAATTAGCTTTAAGAACTAGGTACTTCTAGGTGGTATAGTAGGAGTAGTTAGTACAAAAAATTTCTTTAGAAGTCTGTGACATACTCTCTCACAAGTATATATAAAGTCCAGGGGAAAGAGGACTCAAGCTTAGGGAATACCTGTGGCAAATAGGTAACTCACAATTCCTGGAAGTGCTTTTGCTGGAATCCTCAAGCTGTTCCTCTTAGGCATCGGGGAGCTTCTTCTGGGCCCCTTGTACAGCCTTGATTCTGCATCCATTCTGTCCTTGGCTCCTGATGCAGACATTGCTATTAACTTTTCCAGGGGTACTGCTAGGATGTCAATGAGGAGACAGAAAGTCCAAAATCCTCCAAGCTCTAAAGCTCACACGGTCCTTCTCTGATCAAGGGAGATAAGAAGAGGAGACTGAGGCTGAGACCCAAAGCTCTGCTCCTCCATGAGCCCCATCCTTACCCCCACCTGATTCCTTCTCAGGGGCTGAGCTGGAACACCCTCCTGGCTCTCTACTCAGTTAAAAATTGGTTACAACTAACAAGATAATTTTATACAGACCCCAGAGGGTGTAACCAAATCCCTAAGTCAATCTGAACAGACTTCATGTTGCATCTAGGGAAGTCTCCTAATAAATTGATCAGGGGTGGGATAAATGGAGTGGGATGATTTGAACACCCTTTTACATATAACATCCATAGCCTGTAAACCCAGCCTCAGTCCAACAATACACTAAAGAGGGGCAGAACAAAAATTAATTTATATCTTCTCCCAATATGTGTGGAGACTTGCTGCTGTTCCTTAAGAACATTTCTGCAACACTGCAAAAGATTCACAGTTTTACCAGTGTGAGCAATTCTTCTGCCAACACAGATTTTAACCCTACCACACCATAGTAAATAGTCTCATGAATTGCCAGTGCTGAAAAAAAAATCATTACCCGGTGGTCAACCTCCTATTAATAAGCTTCTTCACACTTAGCTAGTCTCATAATAATAATAGCTGACATTTTTACATAATGCTTTAAAGTTTATAATGAGTTTTATGTGCATAATCTCATTTGAAACTCACACCACCTCTGTGAGATAGGTACTACGGGCATTATTACACCTATTCTTACAGATAAGGAAACTGAGGCTCACATAAGTTGAATAACTTGCCTACCTATGGCCACACTGCTGGTGGGTGGGATTTGAACACAGATCTTCCTAAAACTAAGGTCACTTCCATGAAAAATCACTGGAGAAGAACTTTACTGGATATCAGGAACACCAGGGATGCCTGAAGTCATTAACATTTGCTAAATAGAGTTTGAACCACACACAAATTCTAAGTAGTCTTTTTCTGAGCTTATAAATGATCAAAGATAGTGATGTCAAAGTAAATTGGTTCTCTGTGGGTTGCATATAGACTTAATAAAACCACATATTAACATTATCTATGTGCTATTGTATTTTTTATTTATTTTGTTAAATATTTCCTCATTACATCTTAATTGGGTTTGGGCTGACTGGGGGGTGGGGCCCACAATGGGCCAGGTGTTTGACATCTGTGATCTAGAACACTGATGATTTTCTTGTTAATGGTGTCTTTCTCCGTTTTCAACAGGCATTAGCAGTGTGTTCAGAGTCCTTGGAGCTTTACCCATTAACCTCAGTTCAGAGTTAAGCAATAAAGGAATAAGGTGCGTATGGGGGGAGGTGGGAAATGACTTTTATCATCAGACACTGCCTTGAGACACCTGTTCTATCCCACAGCTTCTCCCTCCATGGATTAACCCAGCTCCTAGCTTTTACCAACAACCACAAATTCAGAAAGCCCCAGGCAGTGGGAGACGGTGGAGGGAAGGGATGTGGGGAGCAAGAGAACATCATTCAGCAAGATTGCATCCATGGCCATCAACACCTTTTAACTGAACCCTTAGCCTAGTCCTGCCTTTGGTACTGCACATGACCAGAAAACAGCTGGAAGTCATGTAAGGCTGTATTTAAGCTTTCCTAAATGTTATTATTGTTGTTCTTATTACGATCTATTAGCAGAAGAAGGGAAGAAATGTAGAAACTGTATACAATTGTATTATATTATATATTGTATATATAAATATATTACATTATATTGTAAGCAAAATAAGCATCAGGTGATTTCATATAAAATAAGCCTTTCCATAGATTATCCTCTCTCATACCTGTCAAATACACCCACATTCAAACCGAGGATTTCCTGAAAATACCAAATGTTGATGGCATTTTCAATCCATCTTCCTTGGCGTTTTGTTAATTCATCTTATGCAGAGATAAATTAGTTTCTGGGTCACCTTTAACAATTGCAACTCATGTCCAGAACTGATACACAGAATTTCTGGTCCATTTCAGTTGTCAAAAGACCCTGGCATACGTCTTTTATTTTTTTTTTCATTTTTGGTTTTTTTTTTTTGCTTTTATGGTGAGGCAATCGGGATTAAGTGACTTGCCCAGGGTCACATAGCTAGTAAGTGTTAAGTGTCTGAGGCTGGATTTGAACTCAGGCCCTCCTGACTCCAAGGCCAGAGGTCTATTCACTGAGCCACCTAGCTGCCCCCCCATGCATCTTTTAAAATAAAAACATTTGCACTTTCTATCAAAGCATTTTCATGTTATGTCCATGACACTCAATAGAAGGGCTTTTGTCCATTAGTGATACACTAATGCATTCTATTTCTGCACAGCTATCCGAAAAAAAAAAAGGTAATATGACCCATTCTCCCCAACTCTGAGTCTAAATCATGATACTGAAAAATGAACTATAATCTTTGTGAAAGTAAACTCTCTCTTAACACAGAAATGGCAGAGGAATCAAAGCGAACATGGTATTTTTGGGTGCCAAGTGTGCTTATTCCCAGAAAAATCAGCAATTGCTCTGCCGTGACTGGAGACACCTGTCCGTACATAGCTTCAGAACCAGAAAATAGTAAATATAAGAGAGAGAATGACCCCTATTCTATTTCTTCTCCTTTCTCTTATTATCATTCCTTTCTCATTTCTCTTTCTTATTCTTTCTAAAGGGGAAAAATAGCCTCTTGGTGCCCCATTTACATTTTAATAAGCTGGATAAGGAAATTTCTCAGTATGGTAAAAGTATTGATTTTTTGAAAGGTAAAACCTTTCTCCATCACCAGGACATTAATGACCAAAATATTCTAACTTATCAGCAGTTTTCAGAAAAAAGTTGTGAGCTTACAAAGAGGCTGATAAGGGATGTGGTCATCTTTTGGGGTCCCATTTCATATTAAGCCAACCATCACATCAGTGAAAAAAAACCACATATCAATAAGGCAAAGAACCACCTTTGTTTCATCCAAGCTGTCAGTGTGGGTGCTCATTCTGGTCCCATTGGTGAAAGCTGACTGCACAGCAACACTAGACAGTGTGAAGCCTACCCACCACACGGATTGCACTTGTATAGAAAGTGGAAATAAGATCAGGTCAATGGTAGATTTGATGCTAAAAACCCCCAAACCTTTCTGGTGATACAGATCACTTCTGTCTGCCACTTTGATTCCAGAGGCACGTGCTAGTATAAGAGTATGCTCTAACAATGATGTCTAGGTAAGAGAAAAATCTTCCTCTGAACTAAAGAGGTTCACAGACAGGTAGTCCAAAGTTGGAGGGACTTTTTTTCTATTTACCTCATGATTACACACACTTTCTTTTCTCAAAACTCAATTTTATTTTTTTTCAAGTTAATAAGCATTTTCCTCTTCTCACTCCCCTCTAATTGAACAAAAAAAAATAGAAAAAAAATCCTCATAACAAATGTGCAAAATCAAGTCAAGCAAATTCTATTACTGATCATGTCAAAATATGTCTCACTTGACATTTTGAGTCTATCACTTCTCTTCCTCTGTGCTCCTCTGGAACTGGGCTTTGTCATTGTATCGAGCAGAGTTCTAAAGTCATTCCAAGTGGTTTTTCTTTATAATGTGGTCACTGTATAAATTGTTCTCCTACTTCTGCTCACTTCACTCTGTATCAATTCATAGAGGACTTCCTATTTTTTTATGACACTGTAATATTCCATCACATTCCTATCTCTTTCATGGCCTGATAGATGATACATCACCTTTCTACAAATACACACCTCAAAACACCCTGGAGAATTCAACAAGAACATGTACTGTACCACAGTTCAAACTGTTTCCTCCAATCACCTGCCCAGAACACTGAGCCATAAACACTGAAGAAAGTTTTAAATAGATATCACTGTATTAACTAAATAAATATTCATATACCCAAGCTTCATGAGACCAAAAGCTTTCAAAATAAAGAGACCTGGAGTAGGTCAAAAATCCCATGGTGACAGGACGAGGTATATGGCATTCACATTACTCTGTCTGTTACTGGTACGGAGAATGCTTTGAATAATCCTATGGAAAGTGAGCTTGTGCCCTAATCCTTTTATTCAACTATACAAAGAGTTAATTTTATCCACCTATGAATTAATCTATAGAACATTAGACAGAAAAGAATGATAACAAGATAGTAACTTGTCCCAGGACTGTTTTCATCTGAACCCTATCGAAAAGGATGTGAATGAGATGCTAATGATAATAATCTCCTCAAGTGCAATGCCAACTCTAAACCACCAAAGAGGATGTGGAAAACTACTGGTTATCTATATGATCAAAAGAAACTCAACATAATGAAAATACAAGTTGGATAAAACACCAAACAGAAAGTTTTTGTACCATTAACATAATGAATGAAAGAAAAGTTACATCAAGGGCAGTGACTGAAAGTCTTTTGTTCTTGTTCAGTCATTTTTCAGTCATGTCTGACATGTTGTGAGACTAATTGGGGTCTTCTTGGCAAAGATAATGAAGTGGTTTGCCATGTTCTTCTCCAGCTCATTTTACAGATGAGGAAACTGAGGCAAATAGGGTGAAGTGACTTCTTCTAGGGTCACACAGCTAGTAAGTGTCTAAGACTGGATTTGAACTCAGTAAGATGAGTCGTCCTGACTCCAGGCCCAGTGCTCTATCCACTGTGCCATCCACATGCCCACAGGGAAAAATGTTCACCATTTAAAACATGCCACAAATGCAATAATGTCAAGAACAAATGATATAAAACGTGGCATCTTCCAGGGAAACGGTTTAAGAACTCTGGTTCTACCTTGCCTTTAAGTGATTATTATTACTCCTGAAAACAGAGTATGGCTTTCAAATCATAGAGGAAATCATACCAAAAGATCATATTAATCACTTGGTGTACATGGATGTCAAGTTATATGGTTCCACTGAAAAACACATGAAATAGACCAAGGAAAAACATTCTTCCCACCTCTTGACAGAAAAAAGGTAGTGAATGAGATAGGCATTCATGAACATGGCCAATATATTGATCTGTTTTGTGTGACAACGCTAACTTGTTACAAGAGAGGGTTTCCTTTGGGAGTTGAAGGAGGGAAGACTAGAGCTAGAAAGAAAGGAAGAAGGAAAGGGAGAGAGATATAGAGAGACAGAGAGACAGGCAGGGAGAGGGAGAGATAGAGACAGAGACACAGACAGACAGAGAGAGATAGAGACAGAGAAAGACAGACAGAGACAGGGAGACAAAGAGCATCAATGGAGCATTTTTTAAACGCACAGAAGAGGTTTAGGGGAGGAACAGACACATGGAACAGCATCTGGAACCAAAGTGCTGAATTTAGTATATACTTAAATAAAATAGCTGTACATAAGGAGGTTCCTGTTTTCAAACACAGTATTTTTTTCCATTCTTTGTATATGGAAATGTTCCGTTTGTTGGTTTTTTCAAGTTCAGAATAACAAAAAATTTAAAGTTAAAAAAAATAGCTACTCTATCTCTTAGAAACTTTTTCTGATATCAAAATGTCATTTGGACTAAATTTGTAATTTGTAAAAATTCTTAATGTGTATCAAGAAGAACAGATTGAAGTCTCTGAGCTCGAACTCAGAGGTCAAATTGAACCAATGGATGAAAGAAATACTTAGAAATCCTTTGGTCTTCTCCAGGCAAGACACATCAAACGTGAGACTACCAAGGAGAAAGCTGAGGCCAGGTATATTAAGAAACTGACTGGCAACATGACATAGGGGAGAGACCACTCAACATAGTGTCAGGAAGATCTGGGTCTGAATCTCACTTCAGACACTTATTAGCAGTGTGACCCTGAGCAAGACATGTAACTTCCCTGGACCTCAGTTTCCTCAATCTATAAAATGGGTGTATTGGACTCAACGATCTCTAATGTCCCTTCTAACTCTAAATGTATGACCATATGATTCTGAAGCCAAAATTTAAAGCAAAGAACACATTTAGAACAATTAACGTTTATGCATATGTAAAATGGACAGCATCAGATCCAGAAGGTATCCAAACAAACAAACAAACAAAAAAAAAACATACAAGGTTAATGTTCTCGTTACCCCAAGGCAGCTAAGATAGAACACTGGGCCTGGAGTCAGGAAGACCTACGTTTAAATCCAGCTTCAGATGCTCATTAGTTGTGCAACTCTGAGCAAGTCACTTAATCTCTGTCTGCCTCTGTTTCCTCAACTGTAAAATAAGGATAACAGCATCTATCTCACAGGATTGTTGTGAGGACTAAATGAGATAATATTTGCAAAAGTCCTTAGCATGGTGCCTAGCACAAGGTAAGTGCATAACAAATGCTATTTCTGTTCTCCCTTATAGAAAGATTAGTACTACCTCATCAAAAAAGTGGAAGAGGATCGATAACTATTCTCAAAGCACAAAATAAACAGGTTTGAAATTTACAGAAAAACTTCTGGAACTCACATTCCTCATTTTGCAAAGCAAAAGCAAATACGTTATACATATACACACACATACATATATATGTGTATGTATGTGTTTATATATGCCACTAGATTTGTTGAATGGCACTGAAAGTGGTTTATCTCGAGATGATGCCTAAGAAACAGCTAAGATACAAGCGTGAAATCAAAAAAAATGCTCCATTGGCAATAATCACAGGAATTTAAACAACAACATATCACCAAGAAGCCCAAAATAAACAGCTGCGTGATTCAGATTTGTTTATAGATATAGATATAGAAGGATTTCTGCCACCAGAAATTACAGAGAGATCATCCTTAAGGATCTCACATTTATATTATACAATGAAGTGATATATCACTGCAGGCTTGCAAAACGTTAGCATCTGCTGAACACCTAGAAAGACACAATCAGGCAGCTAGAATTATGCACCAGCAGTTTTACAAATCCCACAATACAAATACAAATCCCAAGATATCCTTAAGGATTCAGCAAATAAAATGCGTGGAACATTTTCATCAGAATCACTATTTTTTGTTTTGAAAACCTGACAATTCCTTCCACTGACAAAGGAGAAAATTCACCAACAGACGCTGCATTAGAGACACTGAATAACTTTTTCAACAGCACACATACGAAGAGCAAACAGGTTTGTGTATCAACAGGTGAAAAGGACAATCACAAGCTTTCTGACCTGGCTGTCTCTGCAAAGTCTTTTCTAAATACACAATTTGCTAAGAGGGCACTTGTTTCATAACTCAGCTGCTGAAGACTCTCACAAGTATCACTTAGCAATAAAAACTTTCTAGTAAAGGATGTGTGCAACACACAACAATAAAAAAGGGGACTGCTACCCATTACTCGAATCGGATGAAAGCATTCTAATTTTCCATATCTGTTTAAACAAATAATCCCCCAAGTAATCTCCCCAACTCTATCCATCATGTCCAGGCCATACTTAGGAAAAGTAAATGACAATGTTTGAGAAAATAAAAGCTTTCTTACCACTTTCATATAGCATTGGAATAGAAGGGAATGTAGCATCAGCATATTATCTGCTGGGTCTAGAGTGTCTTCTTCACAGAACGATGGCCACGACAGGTACTGGTGACAAGTCCGGCGCCTTACACACACCTCACCGCACACGGCTTCCTAGTCAGGTAGAGTCCTGGAGAGATTACCGTGAAAGAAACTATATTAAAAGCCTTTTGTGGTTTTCAATGGAACACAAAATTCATCGCTTGCAAAATGACCCACTGTTCACTTGCACGTATTCCTTGGTTCTCTCTGCCAGTCCTTTCCCAAGAATGAAGAGGGCGCTCCAGTGCCAAGAGGTACTGGGCGAGACCAGGTGAAGCCTATGTGGAGTCACTTTGGAAGCTGTAAATAGTTAACTACGACAAGTTGCTGGTTGCTGGGGCAACCAGAAACATTTCTTTAGTGGACAGACATCTGTTCAGTAGCATGTATGTTAAAAAAAAAAACAAAAACCTTTTAAGAAAATGTCATTATTTTTCAAATGTGTTAAAATTTCCATATAAAAGGGCAAATGTCCACTTAACTACATAAAGGAAGCACTATAATGTACCAGATTAACACTTGCAAGGTATTCATTATGATACTTAGGCCAGAAAAATGTGAGTCAGTAAAATATTATGAAAGACAAAAAGCATTTCAAGAAATAATTGGCATTCAAGATGATTCTTTAAAGTTATAATTTGCAAGTTTGAAGAGAAAATGTCTCCAAGTGGAAATGTTATTCTCTGTCCCCCTGGTTTATGATGATAAGGTTACTTGGGAGTCATGATGCAGTACTGTGATTTTTTTTTTCTCTCACAAAATCTCTAAGGAATCCAGGGAATTAAAGTCATAAATTTAATTTCAATATCTCATAAACTGTGAGGCCAATTATTAAGGAAGTCATTTCAGAATACCGAGAGGGCCCCTCAGTGAGAAACAGCAGTCAATAGGGTTTTAGGAAACACAAATCATGCCAAACTAAGTCACATCCTTGTCACACCAGGAAGACAAGCTGAATGACTAGAGATTATGAAGTAAACTGAACATATCTTGAGTATAGTGATGCATAGGGGTACAATGGAACCTTACATTCCTGCAAGAGGATGAGAAAAATACGGAAGAGATGGAGTTAGTAAGAAGGAAACCCACCAGAATGAGAACCTCAGGTGCAGTATGAACTCAAGGGATGAAAGGAGAGATTGGGAGCAGAATGGGGCCAAGCAATGGACCTAGTACTACATGGAGTATGATAAATGGCTTTGTGGATCCAGCAGCAAGTAATAACATCATAATCAGCAATTAGATAAAGCTGAAGGGGTTATTCCCCATCCTGGGAGCTAAGATTAAATACAATGTCAATATATTTGGGAAATTAATATCATATAGTTCATTAACAGAAAGTAGAAAGTGTTTAGAGTTCGAGGGGACCTTGGATGTTATCTAGTCAGACTCTTTCATTTTAGAGATGAGCAAATAGAGACCCAGAGAAGTTAAAGGACTTGCCTGAGGTCACAAAGGTGGTAAAGCGGTGAAGCCAGAATTTGAACCCAGGTCCTCTGATTCCAAATCTAGTATTCTTTATATACCAGGTTCTTGCATCAAATGAATCCATATGGAACAGGAGGGAAGCTGGTTGGCTAACTATGTTAGGATGAAATAGTTTGCTGTAGGAAGAAAAAGAGTCTGTGATACCAGATTTCGACTATGCACAATATTAACAATTCCGTATACACATAAAGCATTTTACAGTTTACAAGGCATCTGCACATCCATTGTCTCATTTCATACTCGGCATTTAGCACAGTAGCTGATAAAGAATAGGTACTTAATAAATTTTTATTGATTGATTGATTATCTGAGGATTAGCAGTCCTAGGAAGCAGATAGGGCAGTGATTATTATCACTAGTTTATAGATGGGAAAACTGAAGCTTTAGAGGAAGCATGGAGTAGTAGATAGTAGGCTGGATTGGAAGTCAGGAAGACCTAGGTTCAAATCCCTAATCAGGAACTTTCTAGCCACTAGCCAAGTGACCCTTGGCCAGTTACTTAACCTGTGTGCCTCAGTTTCCTCCTCTGTAAAATGAGGGAGTTGGTCTTGGAAGCCTCTATAGTGTCTTCGAGCTCTAAATCTATGACTCTATGATCCTGTAAGTGACTTGCCCAATGTCATGCAATTAGTAAGTAGAGAAACCAGGCCTAGAATCCAGTTCTTTTGACTTCAAGTCTTGTGCTCATTCAACACCTTATACTTTGGTGGGAATTTGGGGAAAGGGGGGCAATTCTATCCTCCTGAAGAAGTATAGGGGCTGCTAGGTGGCGCAGTGGATAGAGCACCGGCCCTGAGGTCAGGAGGACCTGAGTTCAAATCGTGCCTCAGACCAAACACTTGACACTTACTAGCTGTGTGACCCTGGGCAAGTCACTTAGCCCCAACTGCCTAAAAAAAAAAAAAATTATAATGAAAGTTAGATTTTAAAGGAAAATGTATTTACAGTTAACCATTTTCTAACAGATAAGAAAAGGAGGCCATCCACCCAGGTTACTTGGGTGATCTGGATATTTTAACAGGAGACCACTACTTCTCTTCCCTTTTCTATCACCAAGTGGATGATCATTGGCAAGGTCCCCCAAAGTAAAATGCACGGGACCTATTGGATCTTCATTTGTGAACCAGAAGGGACCCTTAATACTGTATAATCTGGCCCCCATATTTTGACAGAGAATAAAATAGAAACCCAAAGAACGGATGTGATTTGTTTATGGTCACACAGGTGACAAGTGTCAGGACTGAGAGCCCCGGCCAGGCCTGATCCCAACTCCATTACTCCAAGTTGGCCTCTGTCGGAGGCAGCGAGGTGGCGCAGTGGATAGGTCACCAGCCCTGAAGTCAGGAGGACCTGAGTTCAAATCCGGCCTCAGACCAAACACTTGACACTTACTGTGTGACCCTGGGCAAGTCACTTGACCCCAATTGCCTAAAACAAAAAAAACAAACGAACAAACAAAAAAAAAACCAAGTTGGCCTCTGTCCTCACAGTTTACTCATATAAAATGAAAAGGAAATGAATATTCAGCTCCTCATATAGCCAGAAAATTATTACAATGTAAAGTTTTTGTTTCCTTTTTCTCTATCCCCATTATTACAAGCCTGGTATACAGACTGCATTTGGCACTAAGTGGCTAGTAGGTGGCAAAATTGGTCTACTTAGTTGTAATAACAAGGTGGGGAGACGTTCTCCAGAGGCCTATGGGGGTTCATACACTTGTCCTGCTACCAAAGCTGGCTTTTCATAGTTTTGTACACCTCTGTTGTATAGAAATAGATTGAGATTAGAAGTAGAGTGGATATCACTGCAGGTAGCGTTGCCATTTCACTGAAATGAAAGTAATGTCTATGTACACTGGCATCTGCTTTTAACACCATTAGTAAGCCCTTTGCTACCATTTAGTTATAGTAAGTGCTGTAAGTCAGGCCTCCCCTGGATTTTCAAGTAATTACATAAATACAGTGTATACGTTGGGTATGGTAGAATAGTATTTTCTCAGGAAGAAAACCCTTCTTCAGCGAATTCTTCATTATTGGTTGGGTGCCATCTATATAATGCCTTAGTTTAGCCATGCTACGGACTGAGAGACTTAAAACTGGGAGATTGGCTATAGGTGACACATTCTTTAGCCAGGGCAGTATGAAACAAAGAAAGACAAAATGGCCCCCATCGTGTGTTCCACTTTCCACTTTCATGGTGACTATGACCAATTACCAGAAAATAAGATGGAGGCTTCCAGGAATCACACACTTTGTAGGCCATTTTAAATATTAATTTAATATTTGGTCCCCTGATATGAGATATCAGATCGACAATCAAAGAGATGACAAACTAATAGAGGGAAGGAACCAGGCTAAAATTGCCATCCCCGCCCCTAAGTGAAAGCAGAAGACAGAGAAGTTGTAGCTAAATATAAGGATAGCTTCTAGTTTTTCCTTGGAGAAACAAATAAAGGTGGAGTTGGTTTTCTCATGTACCCAAAGGCAGTAAGAAATAACATTTTATGAGACATTTGGTCATCTCGTCTTGAAATGGTCATAAAGACAGCTGCAGCTTGCATGTTGACACCTGGTGCAAAGGGTGAATTAAGCAGAGGAATTCTACAAAGAACTTGACAAGGTACTCACACATCAAGTAAATATATAACTTGATACTCATTAACTTCAATGCAAAGATAGGCTCAAGGGAGAATAGTGAAAAATAAGCTGGAAAATATGATTCAGGATTAAGAAATGAAGAAGCCAAGACTTATAGACTACTCAGAAGTTTCTTAGCAATAGCTAGCATTCATGCAGTGTTTTTAAGACTTGCAAAGTGCTTTATAAATATTATCTCATTTGATCCTCAAACAACTCTGAGAGGTAAGTGCTATTATCATCCCCATTTTACAGCTGGGGAAATTGAGGCAGATAGCTGAGGCCAGACTTGAATTCAAGTTATCCTGACTCCAGGTACAGCCCCTTATACACTGTACCACCTAGCTACCTCTAGGCCTATGCAAGCCTTCTTGCTTGTATACCATGGAGACTTTCCTCAAGAAGATAATCAGAAGGTGCTAGGCATGGTGAACACTGAACAATATCACAAAGAATGAAATTGACTATGTCTTTTGAGAAGGGAGGCTCCAGACCTGTTATTTCACTGATTGAAAGAACTACCCATGTGGAAACTGTTTCCCCCAGTGCAGATCAGCAAATTGTCTATGGCTGATAGTCACAGAAAGAGGGCGTGGAGAGGCTAATTGGCTTGCCCATGACCACATCGTACGTGTCAGCAACAGGGCTGGAATGCAGTCTCTCTGGTTCCAAGGCCGACCTTCTATCTATTCTGCTGCCTTTCAACTATATCATAACAGAGAAGAAACTAATTGCTATGTGGGAGTCACGGCAGAATCAATCATCTCTCTAATGACTTCTCAGGGATGTTGTAAAGTAGGGAAGTTCAGGGTGGATTATACAGCCTCTGAGGTCTTTTCTGACTCTGAGATGTTGTCATTCTGTGATTTCTTGTCAAGAAAGGGATCATGGAAATAACACGTGTAAAACATAACAGAGGACGGCCTCAGACACATAACACTCACTAGCTGTGTGACTCTGGGCAAGTCACTTAACACCAACTGCCTCACCAAAAAAAAAAACAAAAAAAAAAACCAAAACCATAACAGAGGAGAAGGATGGGAGATTATATATAATTATGCCTCAAAAAAAGTAGTGAAAGACAGTGAAGAGAAGAAGAATCTATGAAAAGTTTGGCATGAAACTGAATTGTCATTACACTGTCATGGCACCCTACATTCTAAGTCACCCTGTAGCACCAGAGAATTTCTTCCTGAAAGGAAAACAAAAGGAACCTGGCAACCATTGATTCAGGTATGCTATATGAGACAAGGAGGCAGTTAGGTGGCTCAGTGGATAGAGCATTGGGCCTGGAATCTGAAAGACCTGAGATCAAATCTTGCTTTACACACTTACTAGCTGTGTGATACCTGGGCAAGTCACTTCTTCTCTGTTTGCTTTAATCCACTGGAGAAGAAAAGGGCAAACTACTCCAGCATATTCTCTAAGAAAACCCCATGGACAGTAATGGCATGATATAGTCCCTGGGAGCATGAAGTGTCAGACACAATTCAACGACTGAACAACAACAACAATATGAGATGTGCTCTGATCTTACAGTATTTTCATCATAGATCATTCTGTTGGAATAACTCTGTATGTGTATGTATGTGTGTGTGTGTGTGTGTGTGTGTGTGTATGTCTATGTCTGTGTCTGTGTCTGTGTTGTGAATCATGGTGGGGAAGGGGGGAGAAAGGAGGGAAGTTTGCGCTTGCCCTGGCATGCATCCTCCAGTCTCTGGCATACAATCACATATATAACCATACCAAATGCAGGCCCAAGTACACTACTTTCTCACTCTCACTGCAACATACCACCAGCACACCAATTACCACAATAACCAGCCATCCTTCCAAACTCCATTAATCACAGCTTCCAGGTCTGGTTCTCAACCTCCGAACTGAATGCCATTCCTGAAGCTTCTTCCTGCCATTCCCAAATAGGTATTTGCATCCCCCATAGCCTTTGGAACACACATCTTTTCTTTTTTTCACTCTTAGACACTGATCATCCCAAATTCCTGACACCAACTATCACTCTGAGAACACATATAGAAGCAAATGAAGGGCAGATAACAAACAGCCAAAAATGCAACAAATTTACCAGTCTTTCTCCAGTGAACTATACTCACCATTGATGATGGTAGAACCCCCAATGGACCTCTCATACCTCAATACCAAATTGCTATATGAGAACAAGATGAAGGCAAAAAGAAAAGCTGGACCTGGCTAAGTACACACAGAAAACAACCATGCTGGAGGCAGCACAATTTTGAAAGTACTGGGGGACCAATTTTTAAGATATCTGAAAGAAGGGAAGATACCAAATGGTTGGAAAAAAAATCACAGATGACATTACTACTTCCCAAAGAGCACTCAGGAAGCTATCAACATGTTCTGGCCCATATATTCCTTGTTATCTCTAGGCTCAAATACAAACAACTCTAGTTTGGCATCTAAAGCCCTTTACAAGCTATCTCCTTGTATTTATATATTTGGTA